AGGAAGCGAGTTGGCCTCGGGGGGTCGTTAACGCTGCGGGGGTGCCGTGCGGGTGACTGTCGCTTGCTGCCGGGCGAGGGACGCGTGTAGGGTTCTGTTGCGTCACTTGCACAAAATGTGCAGGATTTTCAAATATTGTGCCCAGGAACTGTCATTGCTCGGGCTGTGGGGGAGGAGTGTGTGTGTGGGGTGCGTGCTCGGGCCGTGTGCGGTGGGGGAGGTGTCAGGCCATGTTGGTTGGTGTGTGTGTGCTTGGGCTGTGTTGGTTGGTGTGTGTGTGTGCTTGGGCTGTGTGGGGTGGGTGCGGGGGTGCCGTGCGGGTGACTGTCGCTTGCTGCCGGGCGAGGGACGCGTGTAGGGTTCTGTTGCGTCACTTGCACAAAATGTGCAGGATTTTCAAATATTGTGCCCAGGAACTGTCATTGCTCGGGCTGTGGGGGAGGAGTGTGTGTGTGGGGTGCGTGCTCGGGCCGTGTGCGGTGGGGGAGGTGTCAGGCCATGTTGGTTGGTGTGTGTGTGCTTGGGCTGTGTTGGTTGGTGTGTGTGTGTGCTTGGGCTGTGTGGGGTGGGTTGTGTGTCTCTGGCCGTATGGGTTGGGGGGGTGTGCTCAGGCCGTGTGGGGTAGGAGATGTGTGTCAGGTCGTGTGGGTTGGAGTGTGTGTGTGTGCTTGGGCTGTGTGGGGTGGGTTGTGTGTCTCTGGCCGTATGGGTTGGGGGGGTGTGCTCAGGCCGTGTGGGGTAGGAGATGTGTGTCAGGTCGTGTGGGTTGGAGTGTGTGTGTGTGCTTGGGCTGTGTGGGGTGGGTTGTGTGTCTCTGGCCGTATGGGTTGGGGGGGTGTGCTCAGGCCGTGTGGGGTAGGAGATGTGTGTCAGGTCGTGTGGGTTGGAGTGTGTGTGTGTGCTTGGGCTGTGTGGGGTGGGTTGTGTGTCTCTGGCCGTATGGGTTGGGGGGGTGTGCTCAGGCCGTGTGGGGTAGGAGATGTGTGTCAGGTCGTGTGGGTTGGAGTGTGTGTGTGTGCTTGGGCTGTGTGGGGTGGGTTGTGTGTCTCTGGCCGTATGGGTTGGGGGGGTGTGCTCAGGCCGTGTGGGGTAGGAGATGTGTGTCAGGTCGTGTGGGTTGGAGTGTGTGTGTGTGCTTGGGCTGTGTTGGTTGGTGTGTGTGTGTGCGTGCGCATGCTTGGGCCATGTGTGTTGGGGTGTGTGTGTGCTCAGACTGTGTGGGGCAGGCTGTGTGTGTCAGGCCATGTCAGCTGGGGTATGTGTGTGTTTGGGCACTGTGGGGCGGGGTGTGTATGTCAGGCTGTGTGGGTTGGGGTGTATGTGTCAGGCCTTGTAAGGCGGGGGAGGGGTGTCAGGCCATGTGTATTGGAGTCTGTGTGTCAGGCCATGTGAGGCGGGGCGCGTGTCAGACCGTGTAAGGTGGGGTGTGTGTGTCAGGCCATTGGGGTGTATGTGTCAGGCCTTGTAAGGCGGGGGAGGGGTGTCAGGCCATGTGTATTGGAGTCTGTGTGTCAGGCCATGTGAGGCGGGGCGCGTGTCAGACCGTGTAAGGTGGGGTGTGTGTGTCAGGCCATGTGTGTTGGGGTGTGTGTGTGCAGGCCATGTGTGTTGGGGCGTGTCAGGCCGTGTGCGTTGGGGTATGTGTGTCAGGCCATGTGGGGTGGGGGGGTGTCAGAGCGTGTGCGTTGGGGTGTGTGTATCAGGCCGTGTGCGTTGGGGTGTCAGAGCGTGTAAGGCGATGTGTGTGTGTCAGACCATGTGGGTTGGGGTGTATGTGTGTGTCAGAGCATGTGCGTTGGGGTGTGTGTGTCAGGCCGTGTGAGGTGGGGGGTCAGAGCATGTAAGGCAGGGTGTGCGGTTCAGGCGGTGTGCGTTGGGGCATGTGTGTCAGGCCATGTAGGGTAGGGGGGGTCAGAGTGTTTAAGGCGGGGTGTGTGTGTCAGGCCGTGTGGAGTGGCGTGTGTGTCAGGCCCTGTGTGTTGGGATGTGTGTGTGTCGGGGTGTGTGTGTGTGTCAGGCCGTGTGGGGTGAGGGTGGAGTGTCAGGCCGTGTAGGGCGGTGTGTGTGTGTCAGGCTGTGTGGGTTGGTGTGTGTGTCAGGTCGTGTGTGTTGGGGCGTGTGTGTGTCAGGCTGTGTGCGTTAGGGTGTGCGTTGGGGTGTGTGTGTCAGGCCGTGTGCGTTGTGTGTGTGTGTGTGTGTGTGTGTGTCAGGCTGTGTGCATTGGGGTGTGTGTGTCAGGCCATGTGGGGGGGTGTCAGAGCATGTGCATTGGGGTGTGTATGTCAGGCCATGTAGGGTGGAGGGGTGTCAGAGCATGTAAGGCAAGGTGTGTGTGTCAGACCATGTGGGTTGGGGTGGGTGTGTGTGTCAGAGCGTGTGCGTTGGGGTCTGTGTATCAGGCCGTGTGGGAGGGGGTCAGAGTGTGTAAGGCAGGGTGTGTGGTTCAGGCGGTGTGCGTTGGGGCGTATGTGTCAGGCCATGTGGGGTAGAGGGTGTCAGAGCGTTTAAGGCAGGGTGTGTGTGTCTGGCTTTGTGGGGTGGAGTGTGTGTGCTTGGGCCATGTGGGTTGGTGTATGTGTCAGGCCGTGTGCGTTGGGGGGTGTGTCGGGCCGTGTGCGTTGGGGTGGGTGTCGGGCCGTGTGCGTTGGGGTGGGTGTCGGGCCGTGTGCGTTGGGGTGGGTGTCGGGCCGTGTGCGTTGGGGTGGGTGTCGGGCCGTGTGCGTTGGGGTGGGTGTCGGGCCGTGTGCGTTGGGGTGGGTGTCGGGCCGTGTGCGTTGGGGTGGGTGTCGGGCCGTGTGCGTTGGGGTGGGTGTCGGGCCGTGTGCGTTGGGGTGGGTGTCGGGCCGTGTGCGTTGGGGTGGGTGTCGGGCCGTGTGCGTTGGGGTGGGTGTCGGGCCGTGTGCGTTGGGGTGGGTGTCGGGCCGTGTGCGTTGGGGTGGGTGTCGGGCCGTGTGCGTTGGGGTGGGTGTCGGGCCGTGTGCGTTGGGGTGGGTGTCGGGCCGTGTGCGTTGGGGTGGGTGTCGGGCCGTGTGCGTTGGGGTGGGTGTCGGGCCGTGTGCGTTGGGGTGGGTGTCGGGCCGTGTGCGTTGGGGTGGGTGTCGGGCCGTGTGCGTTGGGGTGGGTGTCGGGCCGTGTGCGTTGGGGTGGGTGTCGGGCCGTGTGCGTTGGGGTGGGTGTCGGGCCGTGTGCGTTGGGGTGGGTGTCGGGCCGTGTGCGTTGGGGTGGGTGTCGGGCCGTGTGCGTTGGGGTGGGTGTCGGGCCGTGTGCGTTGGGGTGGGTGTCGGGCCGTGTGCGTTGGGGTGGGTGTCGGGCCGTGTGCGTTGGGGTGGGTGTCGGGCCGTGTGCGTTGGGGTGGGTGTCGGGCCGTGTGCGTTGGGGTGGGTGTCGGGCCGTGTGCGTTGGGGTGGGTGTCGGGCCGTGTGCGTTGGGGTGGGTGTCGGGCCGTGTGCGTTGGGGTGGGTGTCGGGCCGTGTGCGTTGGGGTGGGTGTCGGGCCGTGTGCGTTGGGGTGGGTGTCGGGCCGTGTGCGTTGGGGTGGGTGTCGGGCCGTGTGCGTTGGGGTGGGTGTCGGGCCGTGTGCGTTGGGGTGGGTGTCGGGCCGTGTGCGTTGGGGTGGGTGTCGGGCCGTGTGCGTTGGGGTGGGTGTCGGGCCGTGTGCGTTGGGGTGGGTGTCGGGCCGTGTGCGTTGGGGTGGGTGTCGGGCCGTGTGCGTTGGGGTGGGTGTCGGGCCGTGTGCGTTGGGGTGGGTGTCGGGCCGTGTGCGTTGGGGTGGGTGTCGGGCCGTGTGCGTTGGGGTGGGTGTCGGGCCGTGTGCGTTGGGGTGGGTGTCGGGCCGTGTGCGTTGGGGTGGGTGTCGGGCCGTGTGCGTTGGGGTGGGTGTCGGGCCGTGTGCGTTGGGGTGGGTGTCGGGCCGTGTGCGTTGGGGTGGGTGTCGGGCCGTGTGCGTTGGGGTGGGTGTCGGGCCGTGTGCGTTGGGGTGGGTGTCGGGCCGTGTGCGTTGGGGTGGGTGTCGGGCCGTGTGCGTTGGGGTGGGTGTCGGGCCGTGTGCGTTGGGGTGGGTGTCGGGCCGTGTGCGTTGGGGTGGGTGTCGGGCCGTGTGCGTTGGGGTGGGTGTCGGGCCGTGTGCGTTGGGGTGGGTGTCGGGCCGTGTGCGTTGGGGTGGGTGTCGGGCCGTGTGCGTTGGGGTGGGTGTCGGGCCGTGTGCGTTGGGGTGGGTGTCGGGCCGTGTGCGTTGGGGTGGGTGTGCTTGAGCCGTGTGCGTTGGGGTGTGTCAGGCCGTGTGTGTTGGGGTGTGTGTCAGGCTGTGTGTTGGGGAGTGTCGGGCCGTGTGCGTTGGGGTGTGTGTCA